TGTCTCATAAACGGAGGTAGTTGCTCAACCCTCAGACTATATATTTGCAGCCTCCAGGTGGGAGAGACACAGTCCATTCCACGAGGAAAGATGAAGACGATCACTCTGAGCTTCCTGCTGGGTCTGCTGGCTGCAGTTTACTGCATGCCGTTATCTCAGGGCACTGATGAACAGTTAGCAGAGGTACTTGGTCCTGTTTTAATGTTCTACTGTTCTGGTTGGAAACAACAGCTGGAAGCTCTGTGGTTTCACTTCTGCCTGTTGTATTGTTGTTTTAAATCTCTTGTAAAGTGTAAAAAAGCTCTTCTTGAGTTTGTTGGTATTTTGTGTCTCATAAGTGTATTTATCTTCTATCTCCATCAGAACTACCTGAAGAAGTTTTACAACCTGACAGAAAACTCTGGTCCAACAGCCAGAGTTGGCATCAGCCAGATGACCAAGAAGCTAATCGAGATGCAGAAATACTTTGGTCTTCAGATCACAGGGACTCTGGATGCTGACACCCTGAACATGATGAAGAAGCCTCGCTGTGGTGTTCCAGATGTAAATGCTGCTCATTTCTCTACTTATGGAGGCGATCTGAAATGGCAGACCAACAAACTCACCTACAGGTGCATGATCTACAGAGAGCGTTGGTTAGGAGAGACATACTAATTTACACATTGTATGTGTTTTAATGGTCATTGTTTCTTTCATGCCCACAGAATAGAGAACTACACACCTGACATGTCTCAGGAAGAGGTGGACGATTCTATTGAGAAAGCTCTGCAGGTGTGGGCCAAAGTCACTCCTCTGACCTTTACAAAGATGAACAGCGGCACGGCTGACATCATGATCTCTTTTGGTAGTGGGGGTGAGTGTAAAACAATTTAACGCACATGCTCCCTGTTGCTTTCTGCTCATAGCTGTGGGACGAAATACATGAAGGTAGTCCATCCATCCATCGATCCATCCATCCATCATCCATCCATCCATCCATCCATCCATCCATCCATCCATCCATCCATCCATCCATCCATCCATCCATCCTTCTATCCTTCAGGGATATTCCTAGAACACCTGTACAGGAAGGCACCCAGGAGGCCTTAACCACCTCAGCTGACTCCTTTCACCGAGGAGCAGCAGCTCTAGTTTGAGCTTTCCCAGGATGCTAATGTTCCTGACCTTATCTCTAAGGCTGAGCACAGCCACACGACAGAGAAATGTCATTTCAATTGTTTGTTTCTGAGATCCTTATGATCCTTATGATAGATGTGGTTGGAATGAAAAATAGAGCTTTGTTTTCAGTTTGTCTCTTTCTTCACCATGACAGACTGAAACAACCATGAATCGGACTCCAAGAAAATTCAGTTCCTCCACTTTAGGCAAAGACTAAGATGGATAGATAGTCCTCATTTTAGGATTTGAACATTCAGTTGGTAAACAGCATGTGTCTGTCGACGATTTGTAATATTGACAGAAATGTTTTTCGTCTAACAGCACATGGGGATTATTACCCCTTTGATGGTCCTGATGGTACTCTTGCACACGCCTTTGCTCCTGCCCCTGGAATTGGAGGAGATGCTCATTTTGATGAGGATGAAACTTTCACGTTTCGCTCAAACTCTGGTGAGTTTATGTTTCCCCTCAGTGTTCATGTCATGGTTTGGTTTACCTTGTAAGAGCTGTAAGTCATCTGTCATTCTGTCTTCTCTTGCTTTAGGCTACGTCCTCTTCATGGTTGCTGCTCACGAGTTTGGCCACTCTCTGGGCTTGTCCCACTCTAATGACCCTGGTGCTCTCATGTACCCCACCTACACATACAGAAACCCTGACACCTACGTTCTGCCACGCGATGATGTCAGAGGCATCCAGTCCCTCTATGGTTAGTACTCAGACTCAGGATTCTCATGACACACTTGAACAAACCATGACTTACTAAAACCATGATTCATTACGACTCAGCTAAAACATACGATAAAATTTTCAGGTGCAAACACGGATCCTATTCCTCCTGGACCCACTGCTCCCATCACTCCTGATGCTTGTGATTCCACCATGGTCCTGGATGCTGTTGCCACTCTGCGAGGAGAAATGCTCTTCTTCAAAGACAGGTATTTTAGACAGTTAAGGCTCTAAAAATCCAGCAGCATTCAGCATTCAGCAGTTTTTATCTACACAAGAACTGGTTACGGGTTAATTTTATATTTTGTTTTGTGTTTCTCAGCTTCTTCTGGCGCATCTACCCTCAGAGTTCTACACCTCAGCAGAGTCTCATCACAAACTTCTGGCCCAATGCTCCTGAAAACATTGATGCTGCTTTTGAGAGCTCACAGTCCGACAGAGTTTTTCTTCTTAAAGGTATTTGTTCTTTGTTCATGATTTGTTGCAGTATTTTCATGGTTTCTATCTAATTTGTAATATATTGTGTTATTTTTCCTTTTCTCATGTCAGACCAAAGAGTGTGGGCCTTTAGTGGCTATGACCTCGTTCATGGCTATCCCAAATCCATTTCCAGCTTTGGTTTGCCCAGAACAGTCAAGAAAATAGATGCAGCTCTCCATAATCCAGAAACTGGCAAGACCCTCTTCTTTGTCGGCACCAACTACTACAGGTGTGTTTAAACAAGATCTAAAATCAAATCCAATGGCAGTATTTTTGTATTGAACGCTTTTTGAATCCAATGGCAGGTTTTCTTTCTCTGTGGAACTGATTGACAGTCAGCCAGAACATACCATACCATACCAATGTATTTATAGAGCACTTAAAACAGCAACAAGGCAAACCAAAGTGCTGCACAATAGAAACAAACAAGCACCGCGGACAGGAAAACATAAAATAAAAATAAAGATACAAATAGCAGCAGATAATAACTAAATGTCCAACACTGTAGACTACAGACAGGATCAAAACAAATCACACCGTGTCAAAGGCAAGGGAATAAAAGTGGGTTTTCAGGCAAGACTTAAAGACTGTGAGTGTGGGAGCCTGCCTGACACGCAGTGGCAACTCATTCCACTGTCTTGGACCTGCAACAGTGAAAGCCCTGTCACCTCTGAGCTTACGAGATGTTCCTGGAACTGAACGGAGCATCTGGTCTGCTGACCTCAGAGAGCGCAGTGGGACATATGGCTGCAGAAGATCAGTGAGATAGGATGAGGCAGAACTGTTCAGTGATTTAAAAACATACATGAGTATTTTGAACTGGATCCGAAGGTGAATGTGTAGCCAGTACAGGGAGGCCAGAACTGGTGTAACGTGTTCTCTATGGCCTGTACCAGTTAACATGCTGTTAACCTCATGATGCTTTGGCACCTGACCCTGATCCTCATTTGAACTGATCCTGACTTAAACCTGGCAAAGTAACATGCTTGAAATTTATCTCATTTATCTCATTTTGATCTGTTTTCAGTTATGATGAGACTACAAAGACTTTGGACCGTGGTTTTCCTAAACGAGTGGATGACACCTTCTCTGGCATGACTGGTCGGGTGACAGCAGCTCTACAGTACAGAGGTAGGAAACATTCAAGCTGCCTTTGGTATGACTAAAGAACTTTCTGTCCAGATCAAGTTGTTCTGTATCACTGACATGGACCATCTGTGTTCTGCAGGGTTTGCTTACCTCTACAGTGGACCCTACATGCGTGAGTACGGCCTGAGGTCCGGGAGAATGTTGCGTGTGCTGGAAAACAACTACTTCCTGCCTTGCACCAACTTCTAAATCAGATAAACCCTCTTAATGACAATGAAGGCCTGGTTAAAAGTAGACATATTTTTTTATAATGTAACTTCAGTCTCATTCTATTATTTTATTATTGTATGTAAATACTGGACATGTGCTTTATTCAGTTCTTTTTCAGTATTTTGTTAAAATATTTTTATATTTTCATTCATTGTTACCTTAAATTATTCTAACTCAACATTTGCATCTTATTTGTATTTTTATTGCCTTAATGTTACATTTTATTTTGTTTGATGAAGAAAAGAAAACATTCATAACAAAACAAGATTATAACATTGTAATTTTTCACACACTGTTTACAAATCAATGTGACTTACTCTGTAGTCTGTAAACCTGTGAGAGACAGGGGAGACAAGATAAAAACACGAGACAACTTATTTTGGTGTTTTCATCCTTACAACAAAACACTGTGGATCTGTATTTATTCATTTTATTAAAATACTGGCAATAATAAAAAGCAATCATAAGTTTCTCTATTTTCATTTGCCACTGAATGAGTGGGTGGATGATGATGTTTTGTTCATATATGTGTGCGTTTTTGATTGTGTCACTGGTACCAACATTTCTCATGAACCACTGAACAGATTTTATGGAAACTTGCAAAAACTAAGGCTGTTTTTCCATTTCCCAGTCTCACCACATCTTGCCTCCAGTCTATTCTGGTCTACGCAGTTTCTGTAGTCTTCTAGATATCTTGAGTGAACTGATTCTCTGGAACCAGTTCATTAAAATGATTCATTCAAAAGACTCGTTCATTGAATCTTTCAGTTCATGCAGTTTATTTGTGCAGTGCATGAGTCAGTGACACATTGCCAGTTCCAGCACAGTTCTAAGAACAAATCACTCGTCAGCAGCAGTTCTGTGTGTGCGCATGTGCA